CAGCAGGAATTCTGCTGTTATTAGTCATACATATTAGCTAAAGCATATGTCCATGTCTACTTGTAGGATACAATGTTAGGAACATTTTTAGAATCAAAATTGAAGATGTGTTAAATTTTAAATAAAAATAAATATATAGTGTTTTCATTAGTTTTACTAAGCAAAATACTTGTTGTTGGTCTGTTTGCTTAAAATACAATAGCAAATCCTGTAAACCATTAGATTATTTTATCAGTTTATGCATCCAGTGTTTTATGTTTAATACAAAGTTTGAAAGACTTGAAATACTCCACTAAGCAAGCAAATTGTAATTACTCCTTCATAATTACCATGCAACTTTACTGCCATGCATTGTTATAATTATATTTTAAATTCCCCCCATTTATATGAGAGACCATAATGTCTTCTGGCACATTGCAATCTGTGACTTATAACTGCATCTCACTTCCACAAAGGCCTTTTCTCCATTTAGCCTCTATTTTAACTACTGTTAAAAGAGGCTAAACAAAATTAATTGGCATCATAATACTGCAATAAGGAAATTGCAGATAATGTATTTCTCAGCTACTGAAATCATTTCATTATGCAGAGCATTCATGCCTGCCCTCTGAGATCTATTCCTCCTTCGTTAAGGAGTCAGTCATCATCACATCAGTGCTTCTCAAACTTCAGTGTATACAGAAATCACCTTGGGATCTGGTGCAAATACAGATTTTAATTCAGTGTATGTGGGAAAGGGCCCCTGGCTGTGAATCTCTAACAGGCCCCCATGTGCTGATACCATTACTGCTGGTCCCTGACCAACACTTTGAATAGCAGCTCCGTCAAGCATCTTGTAGATCTGTGTGCAATGATGCTGTTAACAACTTTCTCTCACACACACAAGTACACACACAAACTTCACTCAGACCTCTACTCATCACTTCCCACCTTCAAGCCTGGAAATTGTCACTGTTAGAAGACTTAACACAAACAGAAGCTGTTACCAAACTCCGTTTTGGCTGTTGTTGCTATAAACCCAATACTTGAGAGGCAAGTGTTGGTAGGAAAGGTAAGGTTGGTTTATTCAGCAAGCCGGCACCTGGGGAGAAGACAGCCTCATGTCCAAGAACCAGCTCCTGAGATTCTGCTCAACCATGAATTTTTTTTTTTTAATATTTATTCATTTATCTGTTTGGCTGCACCAGGTCTTAGTTGTGGTGTGCAGGGTCTTGCATTGTAGCATGCAAACTCTTGGCTGCAGCACGTGGGATCTAGATCCTGACCAGGGGCTGAACCTGGGCCCCCTCCATTAGGAGTTTGGAATCTTACCCACTGGACCACTAGGAAAGTCCCATGAAAAATTTTAAAGAAATTAAAAGTTAATCTCTGTTAATCATTTGGGGAAGGGGTCAAAGCCTTTGTTATCTTCCACTGTGTACAGGAAGTTTTCTGATTGGCTGGTGATGAGATAATAGGGTGGTATCCAGGAATTTTGTGCCCAGTCTGAAGTTACCATCCTCCACCTACATGGGGGCCTTAGTTCCTACAAAAGAACTGGAGATATGTTATCATCTATATTGCTTAAGGTGGAACTAGGACCCTGCCCCAGTGTGGGTGTTCTGCTGTTTCTTGGCTGTTCCTCCCTTCTCTGATGAGCAACTGTTTGGACCTGTCCTTTGGATCCCAGGGACGGTCAAGAAGATGGAATGACACCTATGTCCTACAAACAAGAAATAGGGAACAGGAAAAGGGTTTGTACCCAGTAGGGCCCCACAGGGTCCCACTCAGTTTCAAAATGTCATTCAACTTGTGAAAAAATTTGCCAAGTAAAGAATATGACATTTGAACTACATTTTGAAGGTTGCTTCATAATTTGCCAGACAAGTAGAGGGGCCAAGGTCAGGGGAGCCAGGAAAGGAAATTTCAGGCAGGAGAGAAAAAGCATTCACAGGTGAGGCATCTGTAAACTCCTGGGGGAGGGCAGGAGGCTGATGGAAGGTGAGATTAAGGACACAGATTCTCATCTTCTAGTTGAGGAGTTTGGATATTTATATTAGAGGTGTTTAGAAATCACATGAGGACTAGAAGATTATATAAATCTGATTAATATAATTTACTGATGTTTTCTCTTCCACTGTCAATAAAATGGTCCCTTGGGAAACTAACAGAATGACATGCCTGCAATTCAAAGATAATATTATGGATATTCCATCTAATTTTAATGACACTTTTGAACATTTGTTTCTGGGGTTTTATTTCTTTAATTCATTTAGTAAATCATTGTGGCCCTATCTTCTTTTCCATGAAAATCTGCTTCACATTACTGAAATGACAGCAGATGTTTCAGCTTAGCAATGTCAATAAATACAAGCAGGTCACTGTCAGCATCCATAGCCTAACACTCTATGAAGATCCTCGAATATCAGGTTGGCTAAGACTTGAAGGGAAATAGATGCGGAAACAGTGGAAACAGTGTCAGACTTTATTTTGGGGGCTCTAAAATCACTGCAGATGGTGCAGTGATGGTGCAGATTACTGCAGCCATGAAATTAAAAGACGCCTACTGCTTGGAAGGAAAGTTATGACCAACCTAGACAGCATATTAAAAAGCAGAGGCATTACTTTGTCAACAAAGGTCCGTCTAGTCAAGGCTATGGTTTTTCCAGTGGTCACGTATGGATGTGAGAGTTGGACTGAGGAGAAGGCTGAGCACCGAAGAATTGTTGCTTTTGAACTGTGGTGTTGGAGAAGACTCTTGAGAGTCCCTTGGACTGCAAGGAGATCCAACCAGTCCATCCTAAAGGAGATCAGTCCTGGGTATCCATTGGAAGGACTGATGCTGAAGCTGAAACTCCAATACTTTGGCCACCTCATGCGAAAAGTTGATTCATTGGAAAAGACCCTGATGCTGGGAGGGATTGGGGGCAGGAGGAGAAAGGGACAACAGAGGATGAGATGGCTGGATGTCATCACCAACTCCATGGACATGAGTTTGAGTAAACTCCTGGAGTTGATGATGGACAGGGAGGCCTGGCGTGCTGCAATTCATGGGGTCGCAAAGAGTCAGACACGACTGAACGACTTAACTGAGAACTTGAAGACTCTAAGATACTGTAAAACATCATTTGCAAAGATATCTCTGTTAGGGCTTCCCTTGTAGCTCAGTCGGGAAAGAATCTGCCTGCAATGCAGGAGACCTGGTTTCAATTCCTGGGTTGGGAAGATTCCCTGGAGAAGGAAATGGCAACCCACCCCATTGTTCTTGCCTGGTGAATCCCATGGATAGAGGAACCTGGCGGGCTACAGTCCATGAGGTCGCAAGAGTCGGACACTACTTAGTGACTAAACCACCACAACCTCTGTTGAAAGCTAAGAGAGTCTCACTCTGAGGTTTTAAACTTCCCTTAGTGTTAAAATATTTTTTTGAAAGTTCTCTTTTCAGTAATGGTAAACTTATAGATAGGTTGAAAGTCCAGAATCTTCTAGTCTGTCTATCTTTGGTCCTTGTCTAGCTAGCTTATTGTTGTGTGTATGTTAATCACTGAGTGACATCTGACTCTTTGCGACTCCAGGGACTGTAGCCCATCAGACTCTTCTGTCCATGGGATTCTCCAGGCAAGAACACTGGAGTGGGTTGCCATTTGCTTCTCTAGGGGACCTTCCCCAGCCAGGAATCAAACCTGGGTCTCCTGCATTACAGGTGAATTCTTTACCACTATGCCACATACTCTTCCAGGTTATTGTTATCTGGTAGTATATGTTTCAAGGATGCATCTGAAAAATTTTTGATGCTAATGAGTAAAAGAAATCTTAAGGTTAATTGCGTATTCAGGTTTTTCTTTTCCTGCAGTGCTGCTCCCCAATACCTTACCTTCCAAAGTTTCACCAATAAAAGGGACTTTTAAATGTATATATACATACATACAAACACACGCACGCACACACACACACACACACACACACGCACACACACATATATATGTGCTTCCCTGGTAGATCAGTGGTAAAGAATCTACCTGCCAATGCAGGAGATGCAGGTTCAATCCCAGGTCAGGACGATCCCCTGGAGAAGGAAACAGTCATCCACCCCAGTATTCTGACCTGGGAAGTCCCATGGTAAGAGGATCCTGGCAGGCTCCGGTCCATGGGGTCGCAAAAGAGGCAGACACGACTTAGTGACTAAGCAACAACACACACATATATAGTAGGAAAGGAAAATAATTTTCCCTCTACCCCTTCGAGATCTTGACTGAGACAACCCCTGTACTAAAAGGTAACTTAACAAGAGAAAAACAAATAGAAGTTTAGTAATATGGATGTTTCCTATATACATGGCAGATACTCAAAAACTGAGTATATCAGTCAGCAATGCTGCATGGTAAAAGGCAAGGATACAGAGAAGAGCAAAGAATTAGTACAACATGTGGGAGATCACAGATTGGGCAGCATCCCAGCCAGCAGAGAGACGGGAGCTCCCAGGATCTGTACAAAGTGAAAAATGGAAGGCATTCTAGCAAAAGTGGATTGGTTCTGGCCAAGTCACTTTCTTTAAAGGGAAGGCAGGAGTCTACCAGGCAGGTGACCTCTGAGTGTTGACAAAGTCATTTCAGATTCCACTTCTCAGAGAGGCTGAAACTGTACTTAAGTCTGTTCAGTGACAAGAAGTTTAGCATAAGTGACTCCATTTTGGGCTTGTTGTCTTGTTTTTAACACCATCATAATCAGAAGGGGTTGGTTCTTGTCTTCTTACTCTACCTCTAAGGCAAGTGCACATTCTGCTTAAACTGGTTGTTTTTTCAACAATATTTGTTATATGCTTTGATGGTCTGCCAGTACTTTTTTGAAGCCCAGTTAGTTAGAACAGCCGCCAACCAAGTTGAAACTAAAAGGGGGCCAAATATCTCTCCAAAAGCAAAAAGACTTCAAAAGATATGCATTACAAAGCACTAATGTGACTCACATAATCACTTATTTTAAAGGGGATTTGCTAATGTAAAATTGGTTTCTTATCTTCCCAGCCCCTAGTGAGCCTTTACTGTGCAAATTCGCTGATGGAGGACAAAAGAAGCGACAGAATCAAAGTAAATACACCCAGAATGGAAGGCCTTGGCCCAGGGAAGGAGAGGTGAGTCCTGACTGACCTTTGCTCAGAAATGTGGCCACAGACATCCCTCAGAAGGCTGGCAAGACAGGCATACGGGGCCATGAGGAAAACAGGTCCCATAGAAAACCAGATGGCTTCAAAGGGGGCAAATGAGCAGACCTATATCGATTTTATCAGAATATGATTAGTCGAGAAGGAGAATAGGACTTCCAGACTGACCCTAGTTCTGCACTGTCGTTAAATCCTCTTTGAGCAAGTGTGAAACCAATAGGTATCAGTAGTTCCTGAAAGACTGCCACAAAGAATTGCTCCATAATTGTGTCGTACTTATAAAATAAGGGTATGATTACTTAAGAAAATACTTTCAGTGATATCAACAGTGAGAGTTACATGTTTGTGTTTGAAAGAAAACAAAGTTAGATTTATTTCACTCTGCCATTAAGATGGTCTAGTTTTATTTTTGCGTGTTGAAGCATGCCCAAATGCTCATACATGTGTTGATCTGTTTTTTATATGTACACATCAACATAAAATGTGGCATTTTCTGATGGTCAAGGAGAAAGAAAAGCTGGTACACACAGGGTTCTACTTTTCACAACAAGGAGAAAAGCATTTGACAGTTAATTACCCATCTATTCTCCTAACACAAAACAGGAGAAAAGCAAGCTTATGGCTTCAATGCCACTTGGGAATGATTCCCTTTGGTTATTTTTGTTATAAGAAGACAAGGAAAATGTGTCTGGGCTTCTAAGAGGTCTTTTTATTCTTTGTGAAATAGAATGGAGTTGTTTGAATGCTTGAATAAATGCCATTTTATACCAAGCCCATCATTTCAACAGAAGGGCTTTATTTAGTATTTCTATTCAAAGCATCTACTTCATCCATTTAAGCGGTATCCTACTTGGTACAGCATTTTGCACTTTCAATACTGAGATTACAGTTGTAAGGAAAGAAAAGAGGCTGAGTTTTTTTACTCAGCAAAACCTTTAGCCACTTTTCAGTTTCTCAGACCGTATTTTTGAGTATTTCCATGTAGATCTCAAAACCCCTCGTAAAGTAGATAGCTATGTTCAAATACTATGTAATCTGCAATTCATTACCTTAAAAAGAGAATTGCCATGGAGCACTTGAAGCTAAAAACAGGGGGGGTTCAGTATTTTAGTTCTAGAAAGACAGTCTGTGCTGTGTCAGTACAGAAGAGGCAGGGTGTGGCCATGTGCTTTTAGTGGGCAGTTTGTGATCAGCGGGGAGCCCTGCTGCTCCCAGAAGACAGCTGATCTATGACAGCATTTTTCCACATTGCTCCCATGGCAATCATCTGCGATCTAGAAGGACTCATTTGATCTTTCAAAATTTACTTGAGTCAAATGCTTGCTGATTAGAGATTTCTGGATCACAGACCATAACCCCAAAGCCTCAATTTTTAACTAGATAACTTAGCACTCATGACTGAAATTACAGTTCCTGTATTATTGCGTTCACTGAATAGATGCCAGTTGTGGCAGGACCCCTCACTTGAGTCTACATTTCTTAGAAACCAAACCAATAAACGTAAAAGAAATATAAACTTAGAGAACCCTCTCTGCTACTCTGTACAGAATCCAGGGCTATGGGTTTAGACATGACAAAGACCACATGTGCTGTTATTGCCAAGGAAGCATTGTGGGGTCAAGTTTAGGATCCAGAGCACTTGCAATTTAAATGTAAGTTTTAAAGGTATATTCCTAATATTCATTTTCTAAAGCTGTTTTTTAAGAGCTACAGGTTTTCTCGTTGAATGTGAGAATCAAGGGACCATCATAAATATATCTGTGATGAATAGAAGCTTATTCCAAGTACATAGAGACATTCAGAGACAAGAAATCAGAAAAAAAAATGGCATGAACTAAAAGTATGCTTATCAGATATCTTGGCTTTGAGATGAGTGTTTTAATTTTTACACCATGACTATGGTCTTAGAAGTAGATACACCAAAAATATTGGATTACTTGGCCCATTATTATGTTAATATGTATTTTTTCTTGTATTTCCCCTTTGCATTGTATTTGCTAGAGTAAAATACATGTGTATTTAAGTCTGGTGTGTAAGGTATGACATCGTGCAAGTTAATCCTATGTAAGCAATATTTAATCATTTCTTAGAAAGCCATCCATTCTAATTATTGTATTTCATTGTTTTCAAGACACACATGTTATTTGTTGTTTTTTTTCCATATTTTAAAACTTCTGAAAGCTCTTATTATAGTATTACAAAACAGTTTGCATTTGCTCCTGTTAGTCACCTGGGGGCACTACCTACATTCTCTGCTTTAGGTCTTTGACCACATAGATTGTATCAGTTGAAACTCTAACCAAAGCAAGGATGTGGGTCAGATTCTTGGGGGAGACTTTTTTTTATTTGCTCCCTTCCCTCATCCAGATTGAGACGTGCATCTTCCCTTGAAGTCCATTTCCGGTGGGCAGTTTTGTTTCTCGTTTGTCTGGTAGCCCTTGTAGTCTCCAGCTTTATAAGGAGATCATTGTGGGTGTCTGTTTCTGCTTGTTTGTGTTATTGTGTAAAGTAATGGTTGCCTTAGAATCCACCTGCAAAGAGAGAGAACGCAGGGGGACCTGGGTTCAATCCCTGGGTTCGGAAGACCCCCTGGAAAAGGGAATGAATACCCACTCCAGTATTCTTGCCTGGAGAATTCTGTGGACAGAGGAGCATAGTCAGACACAAGTGAACAACTAACATTAACCCTAGATGAAATTAAAAAATTATAATGTAGGTTCTGATGCTTCAGACCCTGAGATAATAGTGCACATTGAGGTTACTATTTACTTGTCCTGTCTCTAAAGTCAGGTAAAAAAGTGACAGTGTGAGAAGGATTTCTGAGCCAATGCTTCAAACACAAAACCAGTGGATTGCAAGCAACTTCAAAGTACCTTAAACATGACAATTGATAGGCTAATTAAACTTTTCATTTATGATGTAAAGCTGTTTTATTCTGGGTGGCATTTTGATAATAGTTCTTTTAGCATAGTTTGATGAAATGCTAATATTGAACCCATCATACACATGAATTAATGTAAATTAGCCAGGTCTTGAAACATAGGTACATGCAGGTGAACCTATTTTTGCATAAGTGAAAAACACTGAAATATTTGAAAGTTATTAATTAACCTCTCAAGTGACACCCAAACCTGGGGCAGAAGGGTCGGGAGTGGTACTGTGAGCCTTGTCTTCCCAAGGGCTCAAACAGTCTTACCGTCTTCTAAAATGATTTCATTTCATTTATTTGTGGCTGCACTGGGTCTTTGTTGCTGTACACGGGCTTTCTCTAGTTGCAGTGTTGGGGCTTCTTGTGGTGGCTGCTCTTGTTGCGAGCACGGGCTCTAGAGGGTGGGCTCAGGAGTCGTAGCATGCAATCTTAGTTGGCCTGCAGCATGTGGGATCTTCCTGGACCAAGGATTGAACCCCTGTCCCCTCCATTGGCAGGCAGACTCTTAACTACTAGACCGAAAGGACCACCATAACAAACAGGTGATCAGTGATCTTGGATATGATTACTGTGATTGTTTTGGAGCACCATGGACTGTGCCCACATAAGACAGTGAATTTAATCCACAGATGTGTGTGTTCAGGCTTCTCCACCGACCAGCCACTCCCCTGTCTCTCCCCTCTCCTCGGGCCTCCCTGTTCCCTTAGACACAGCAACACTGAAATTAGGCCAGTTAATGGCCTCTAAGTATTCAAGCATCCCGTGTCCCTCACTTTAAATCAAAAGCTAGAAAAAAAAATTAAGCTTAATGGGAAGGCATATTTAAAGCCCAGATAGATGGAAAGTTAGACCTCTTGTGCCAAACAGTTAGCCAAGTAGTGACCACAAAGGAAAAATTCTTGAAGGAAATTATAGCGCTACTTCAGTGAACACATGAATGATAGAAAAGCAAACAGTCTTATTGCTCACATGCAGAAGGTTTTAGTGGTCTGGATAGAAGATCAAGCCAGACACAACATTCCCTTAGGCCAATACCTAATCCAGAGCCAAGCCCTAACTCTCCTGAATTCTAGGAAGACTGAGAGAGGCGAGGAAGCTGCAGAAGAAAAGTCTGAAGTAGGCAGAGGTTGGCTCATGATGCTAGTTAAAAAGAGGCAGCAGCTGTCTCTTGCTAAGATAATCCATGAATATTGCTACAGTAAACAACAGATTGTCAGTGTAGACGCAGCAGTTGCTATTGGAAGAGGCTACCATCTAGGACTTTTCATAGCTGGAGAAGAGAAGTCAGTTCCTGGCTTCAAAGGACAGGCTGACTCTCTTGTTAGGGGCCAACGCAGCTGGTAACATGGAGTTGAAGCCAAAGTACCCAAGACTGGATACTACAGACATGATGGAAGCATACAGACAGATTCCCTACCCCCTGGGACCCTAAAACGGCAAAGTAGGAGATTCAAAGTAGAATCAAATATCATTCAGTGTTTCAGAAATAAAATCACTCTCTGTAACTGGCTTCATACTTATAAACAGGTTAAGAAAACCAAGGCCAAATAACAAAACCAAACAAAAATAACAAAAACAGTAGTCAGTAGAATATCAACTCACATTTGTCTTGTTACTAACCATTAACTATTCATTTGATTGACTATTTTTCAGGGTAAGTAGCTGAGCAATTGATTTGTACGTATTTAAATCCCCCATTTCTTCCAAAAGTTGAAAAGTTCTACCTTGTCACCTGTCTAGTGGATGCTTCCATGTCCTTGGGTGCTGAGTGGCTCAGAGAGAATAAAGCTGAGAGAAGTAACTTAAGTTTTGGAGTGTTATTTAACAAATTTTCAGTCCTTCTGTAGTGTACCCCATTTAAAATAACAATTCTTCCTAAATTTTTAGGAATCATGTGTGTTAACATCTGTGATATGCTCAAAATTGTTTGCGTTTGATCATTAATTTACCAGGCATACTACTTGAGTGACTAAAGGGCAAGCTCTGGCCCTCTCAAGCCGAGTGACAGTCCCTGTTCCCTCATCAGTAGGAGGAGAATGGT